CACCCCACCTCCAGCTTTGTGTGGAACAATCGCCGTGTTTGTAGAGGCGTTAGCTCTGTGAGTGATCAGAGAGCTAGGTGTCTAACAAGCTCGGTCCGTAACGCGAGCGTGTGTGTGTATATTATGCGTGCTTCCAGACATACACAGACACGTGATATTTTCTCACTAAAAGCGCGCTGTTGTGGAGCGCGAGGCCGTGAGCCTACCGATGTGAATATATCGAGAGAAGTCTAGTTAATTTCAGGCTTGTAGGTTGCCCCTCCCCCGCACCCCCTCTGGCGGGGCAAGTCGTCGGGCTGCACCAGTTGCAAAACATTTACATGGTAGGCCCATTACCCTACTGCGCGAAACCCGTTGCAAAGACCGGAAAATGTCGCCGCAGAAATGTCACCAATATAGGACAAGCAAAGACAGTGTTCTACTTGTGACGTTTCATGAATCATGTACAGTATCTACTGAGTAACGTGAAATAGATGGTCATTCGCATTATAAAGGATTCAAATGGGTTTTTTTCTCAGCATAAAACGGATTACCATACTTGCCTACGCGCTAATTTTTTTATGCTCATGTAGGCCTACGTAGTCGAATTGGTATTTCCGATTTCAATTTTTACAGATCTATCGAAATTGAGTGATCAGCCTAGGAAATGATATTCAAAGACGTATTGAAAGAATTCGAATGCGGAGAAACCCGTCGGAAATAAAATAAATGTATAAATACGCAAACGCCCGAGACTATAATGGGAGTGACTGCGTTTTTAACTCCACAATGCAACGGAATGCACCCACAATGCACCGCAGGTTTCGATCTAGATTTTTTTTACTCGCAAAAATTCTCCGAGCTACCCCCATTATTTCCGAACCTCGGGCATATAGAGGTTATAACTAGTCGCGCTTCTGCGAGCGTGGTCCAGTTGATGCGTAAAAAATATTCACCCCCCCCCCCGATTATTGTCCCGCGAAAAGAATGGAACGCCAGCTAGCGGCCATCGCCGTTACTATTATTACCGTGTCTGTTATGTTAGGCGGCAGGCAATTTTTTTATATCAAAAAACCTGCTCCGGCAATGAAATTGCGAACCGGTACTTGAGGCATTGTGTGGAGGTAGCAAGGAGAGGATGGTGTGCTGACGTAAGCTGTATGATATGCAGCGCCTGTTGTCTCATATCAAGGTTATACACAGCAGCGAACGAGAGAGAGAGAGAGACAAAGAGCGAGAGAATGAGAGAGAGAGCGAGAGAGAGAGAGAGAGAGAGAGAGAGAGAGAGAGAGAGAGAGAGAGAGAGAGAGAGAGAGAGAGAGAGAGAGAG